AGAATTCATTTTGTTGGCAGTACAGGCAAAACAACCAGAATGGAGAGCCAAAGGGCATGGGCTGAATGTTTCCCAGCTCTTAGCAGTAAAGGCATCAATTGCATGATTTCAAAGGCGTGTTGTCAATCTTACACACATAACATTTGTTTTTCTCTTTTAATGCTAGTATTGAATCACACCAGTTACATTATTACAGTACACTGTGTAAAACACACTGCTGTTCTATATAGATGGGTTGCATTGGATCTGCCAATTACATCTATTATGAAGAGACACAAGTTGAACATTAGAATGCCCATGAATTAGGGGGCAGGCAGCAGGCACTCATTAAAGATTTTAATTGCTTTCTTTTTCTTTTTTTTTGAAAAAAAAGCAAAAAAAGCAGGGGGAGCCATGTTTCAAATTTAGCAATTAAAGGATATTTCATAGCTAATTGCTGTGAGAAGGGGTTGCTATGTGGAATATGCTCTGTTGTAATTCATATGATTGCTTGACGTTTCATTAGGAAGCACATCTTTGGGCTGTGGTAAAATTTAATTTTCTGCAGTGTAACTGCATGCATAATACCTGCTGAAGTAATGGCTGGTTGGATTTGTGGTGGCTCTCTTCCTTTCTATGTGTAATAAACATGCCATAAATAAGCTGTAATTATTGGGGTCATCGATGTATAGCAAATCCTCCCTGTATAGGTGGCTCATCTAGTTTGTAGGTAAGTATAGTATATATGTGGATAGGAAAGCACAAGCTGTCTGTAGCTCAGCAGGGTTGTTACTTAACCTGCGGATCCCCAGAAAGGCAGATCTGGCTGTCAGAACCAACATGGATCTGAATGTCCCATGCTGTTGTATATATATTGCTGCCATTTGGAGCCAGACGTGAAACCGTGGCTGAGCCCCAGGTGGTTCTGTGCCCCATCACAATGAACACCTGAATTTGGCTTCAAGCATGATACAGAGACATCAGCATGGCTGAGGGGTGGATCAGCACAGGGGTACCAGCCTGTGCTGGAGCCTTTTGGATGTGTGTGGCCTGGAAGTGGCCTGTGTCCATGGGCTGCAAAAAGAGAGGGCTGAAGGTGCTCGCTGTCCTGTCTGCCTGCTCAGTCTGGGCTGTTTACAGGACGTGTCTTATCTGCCCAAATATGATTGGTGTTGTGTCTGAGCTACTTGCTTGCACAGGCAACTGTGTCTAATGCATCCCAAAATGCACAAATCAGAGGGGTTGGAAGGGACCTCTGCAGCAGGAACACCTCGGACCATGTCCAGACGGGTCTTGAAAGTCTCCAGAGAAGGAGACTCTATGACCCTCCTGGGCAGCCTGTTCTAATCCTCCGTCACCCTCACAGTAAGTTTCTCCTCATGTTGTAGCTTGGTGCCATTTCCCGTTGTCTTATCACAGGGCACCACTGAAAGAGACTGGCCCATTTTTGTCATCCATCCTTCAGATATTTATAGCCATGAATAAGATCCCCTCTTAGTCTTTTCTCTAGTCTAAACAGCCCCAGGTCTCTTCCTCGTATGACAGGTGTTCTGGTCCCTTAATCATCCTTGTAGCCCTCTGTTGGACATATCCCTATCCCTCTTGAACTGGAGAACCCAGAACTGGACACAGTGCCCCAGATGTGGTCTTGCTAGGGCAGAGTAAAGGGGGAGGAGAATCTCCCTTGACTTGCTGGCCACAAAATATGGTGCTCCTATGGGTTGCTCCATTACGTAGGAGTACCTCAAATGAAGGAGCATTGTTTGTATATTTTTGCTCTGTTTCATGTAAGTTATGCTAGCTACTGATGGTGAAACTCTGTTGGTAGCATTAGTGACCTTCCCCATCCCACACAACAGCCTTGAACAGAGGTTCTTCTAATGGTGTGAGTCACCATCTCTCTGCATCCCGCTTGTGTGCTGTGAGGCACGTCTTTGTGACAATGGGAACAGCTTAAAGGGAAGAGTCATGCTGGGGGTGTTGAAAATGTATTTGTAGCTGTGTTTTACTGCTGCTTAGAGTGGTGGAGGAGGAAGTAATGCTGCCATAGGACAAACTGGGAATTGCTTTATGTTATTGATAACACTGGTTGGAGATCAGTGTTCTACAAATAACCCTTTTTCCATTTGTGCTCAGGAAAATTAGTGGTCTGAAACAACAGAAACCACAGGTATTGAAAAAAAATGCTGGTGTAAATGGCTTAGAATTTATGTAGTTGCAAATGCAAAATTAAATCTCTCTCTCCATGTATGTTTAAGTAAGTAAAATTCTCCATCTGACAGAATTGATGTATGTCATGTTGCAGTAACTCCACAACTGTTTTGCTCCTGTACTTAACCAGTGACTGTGAGGATTTTTCACTGCCTATCTGAAGTTTACAAAAATAAACAAATGTAAAGAAAAAAAAAATGTCTGTGGTGATCTGGAGGCAGCACCCTTACTCCTGCAAGTGGGAGGCCAACTTCTTTGAGTCTGTTTCAAAAAATAGTGATTCGCGTTCCCTTCTTCACCTTTCTGTGTGTAACATTGCAGTAGGAAATGATACCTTGAACCTTGGAGTGATGATTTACATTATTGCAGTAGACACACTCCATGTTCTTGCTAGCTTTCAGTCAATTTTTTATGAGGTTTATGCCTTTTGGTTTTGAGGTTTTTTATATCTCTGTGATAAGGTGGGAACTCCTTGATTTTTGTGAGCAGCTGGAATTAGCAATTACAAAGAGGTTCAATATTTAAAAAAAATTGTTGGATTAGAAATTACAATGAATTTGCTCATTGGCAACTTTTATGCATGGAAGTATTAGGGAATGATAGATTGCAGACGCCTTCTGTCGCTTTATGATTTGAAAGCTTGAACAAAATAAGCAGGTTTATGACCTTTTTGGAAAGAATATTAGTCATGCCTATGCATATGTTGTTTTTAACTGCTGTCTACTTAGGTAAAGTATGATATGTCTGGTATGACTGCAATTTTAGAATGTTAGTATGTTTCATATTCTTTCTTATTCCAGTATTTGGGCATGTTCTTTCCTCTAGTACCAGTATCTGTTAGCAGGCATTAATGGGCACTCACCAGTTCTGAATCAATTTTCTGTGTTAATGTGTAAACTTAAAAATTACAGCTTGCTTGGTACTAGATGGAAAGCTGTAGCCTGGTGCTTTTTTGGGTGACTGTAATGGGAGGTTGATGATGAGATTACAGAGCATGGGGGTGATATCTCAGCAGCTATTTTCTACAAACAATTGTCATAACAATGTAACCAGTGCTGAAAAAAAAGTTAATGTTGTTACATGTATGTAGGAGGATTCACTTGGCAATAAGGATGATTCTTTATATGCTTTTTCTTTAACTCTCTAAAGTAGCAATCTTAGAATTGTTCTGTATATGCCTTTAAGTCCTTTTTTCCTTTTAAAGTAGGAGTCTTGGGTTAAATCCAAACAGAGTTTGAACATCTATATCTTTTTTATTCTTACATATTTAGTTCTGCTAACAAGGGTAGACAATCTGTGCTCCTGTACTGAGGTTGTAGGGTTTCATCTGAAGTTGATTTCATTCTCTCATGCAGCCTATTGTTCTAAACTATTTTTGAAAATCATAAATTGCATCTTTAGCAGTAACATGCCAAAGAAGAATACTTTTGTGACTACAAAAGTTGGTGTAAGTTTATTTATACAAACATTAGGTTGAGTCTGACCTGACAGTTTGCCTTTAACTGCAGTCACCATGTAGCTCTTGGTTGTGATTGTGTTAGTTGTCAGTAATTGTGTTTGCAGTCTGGGCTGCAGAGGCTGTGATGAAGAGTGCTTGGAACTTGGGCCTTACACAGATTATATCATGAGGAAACAGCTGCAGCTTAATCATAACAAAATATGCGTGGGCTTTAAGGGCTGCATATTCAGGAAATTTTTATTACACTTAATTCCCATGTTTAACCTTTTTAGGAAAAAAAATCTCCCTGTAATTAGAAATAAATGTAAGATTACAGGAGTAAGTATTATAAAATAGATTTCATAACCTTCCTGCTTCAGGGAGGGAATATTTTGTTTGTCTTTGCCTCAGGTGAAACTGCTGGCAGTCTTCTAATTTTTCTGATCTTGTAGATGTCTAGATCTGAGTGTCTGATGTTGCACTCCTTTCAGCTGTATCTGTGCTGTCAGTCAGTGCTAGAGCTCAGTGGCATCCATCACTACCTCTCCCAGAAGTTGGGCAGTCTGGGTGAAGTCCTCTGAGTTCAGAAATCAATGAGACTGTTCTGTTTACTCTTGGATTGAAATCTCCTTCTTTGTGCTTAGAAAACAAAGAGGATGGAATCCTGAGGTAAATCTGAGTCTATGACATAAGGTATTTTGGGATTTCCTCACAAATTGCTAGCCTGCTAATTTTCTGTCAAAAGTAGTGTTTCTTTTTGATCTAGGCAGAGCAATGTACTGATAGATTATGCAAAATTAGCACTGATAAGGTATTAACAACAAACCGCAACAACTTGTTATTGCCTTCCCCACACCTCTAATTGTATTAAATTTATGACAGGCAAATCTGATTACTAAGGCAACCTGCTCAAATTAAAAAATAAAAAGAGCAGAAAAGAAGACCTAAAACACGTGCTGTTGGGAAGAAATCAGGTGCACACACAGGAGAAAATGTCAACCATGGAAGCAGTTACAACAGTTGCAGGCAATTGAAGTAATAAAGAATGTGGTTTAAGGATGGCCTTGAATTTCTAATTATTGAGAAAATGGGATCTGGTAGGTCTGTTTCCTAATGCTTTAGCTGTCTGAAACAAATCCAGACAAGGTATTCTAGCAGTTCTTTCTGTATATACAGTTAGCTTCTTGAGTTTGCTTCATGTAGATAAAAAAGGAACTATGAAAATACCTTCCTTACTTTGAGGTGAGCTAGACGAAAAATCTCAATATTATTTTAAACAAAATGCCGTGGATGATGGGTGGAACTTTCTATGGAGAAGTCGGTTCTCTCTTGCCCCTTTGGGGTCTGATGCTCCGTTTGTGTCTCTGCGCAGGCAAACCGGGACGCAGTGATCAGCCGAGCCCCAGAGCAGCAGGTTGACAGAACTGTCAGCCTCCGGGATGCTTCTGCAGTCTACGACCTCCTCAGTATCACGCTGGGCAGAAGAGGGCAGTATGTCATGCTTTCTGAGGTACCTGCTCCCTGGCTTCTGCTGGAACTTCCACTTGCAACGTGCAAGCAAAGCCTGTCTTTGCCATAACTTTTTGGGGAAGGTGAAAATAAAGGGCATGACTTGGCAGTGAGTGAAACCAGCTACCGACTTATGGCAGCACAGGGCAGAAATGTACACAGAACCATTTGAGACATTACAGTAATTTGTATGTAGGCGCTTGAGCACAGTGGTTCTGATTTGAAGTGATGGTGTATACTAGCAAGCCCCATTAACTGAAAATATGAAAATGATGTCATTATTTTTTTAAAAAAATAAAAAAATCACGTGGGTTCTGGACGACAACAGATTGTCTCCTCTGATTTGATTACTGAGCCAGTTAGAAGTCTTGACAAAAGCAGTTAAAAAAAATAATCTGATATTTCTCCCACCATTTGTTTCTCAGTGCTTAGAGAGAGCCATGAAGTTTGCATTTGATGAATTTCACCTCTGGTACCAGCTTGCTCTGTCCATGGTGGCTTGTGGAAAGGTAAGGTTCAAACCAAAGGGCTTAGGAAGGTTGTGTTTTCATCTGGCAGGGTCTGTCTAGCTTACTTGTTTGACTATGCAGAGTCATGTATTTTGTGGGGCTGGGATGCTGTCAACTATGTGGAAGGATAGTGCTCTCCTTCTAGACTTTAATTGCACTTTGTGATCAGGTGTGTGCATTTGGTATTTAGTACTGTTCTTTCCGTGTAGTGTTTGCTTCTTGTTAATCAAGGAGCAAACAAATTTTGTACATAGCTGAGGATGGAAAATCACTATACAACTGTCCATGCTCTGCAGGTTCTACATAAATGTGTTTAGCATAAGAAAGATACTGATATAGCAAACTGTCATTAATTCACTGACTTTGTGCAGTTGACTTAACCTCTCTTTTAGTTGAGGTTTTTCCATCTGATCAGAGAGATATTAATGCTTTTTCATAGACAGCTTGCAGGGACTAATATTTTTTAAGTGCTCAGTGCAAAAGATACGGTAGAAAACTAAATTTGTGAATGTTTCCATGGACATGTGATTTATCCGACATTTTTTTAAATTAGTAAAGGATTTGTCAAAAGTTACCAGTCAACCACTGAGATGGCTCAAGTCTAGTTCAAAAAGTTAGGCAGAGGGAGCCTTTATTTATTAGTCGTCAGAGTTAATTTCATGCACGGAATGTGGATGGTACAAAATTTAGCCTGTTAATTCTGAGGATCCCCACCTACACTTTCAGGAGATGTGAGCAAATTAATGCTGTGTGGTAGTAGACCATTTAATATGGTCCTGTATTCTGTGCCCATGGAATGTAGGGGGATCCACGTGGAACTTGGCAGAAATCTCCAGCTAGCAGCCATCTTCCAAATGATAACTTACTGCTGGTCTTTTATGGCTATAAGCTGACTTGGAAACAGTGACTTTGGAGATGAAACAGTGGCTTTTGGAGATGAATATACAGTGGCATGCTTTTGCAAAGAAGTTGTCATCTTGTGATGTATAAGTGACAGCAAAGCTTGGAAGATGTCTGAAGGGATTCCTTCAATTCTGTGATCATAGGACAAAGCCTTGTCTTGAAAGTCTGTCTATTGCTATACATTATACTTCAAGAAAATGGGAGAACAACAAGAGAGAGCCTAATAAAGAGCATCGAGGATGGCTAAGGGCATAGTAAGCAGGACTGGGTAGGTTAAAAGAATATAATTCTTTGTACCTTGAAGGGGAGAAAAAAGTCTGAGTCTTCAAGGGCTCTTAGAAGGAGTTAATGTTGTCTGTGGTGGATAGGTCTAGACATGATGGCTTCCAGTTGCAGCAACACAAGTCCATGTTTCCTGTTAAAAGGCAAAAAAATGATAGTGCTACACTAAAGAAAGATTGCCTGTAGAGGTTGGTTGGAGCCTGCATCACTGGGGTTCTGTGGAACTCCCTAGGCAAGTGTCAGTCAGCACTGACCCCACTGGGAGGCACTGGGGGTGTGCTTGGTGAGACCTTTAAAGCTCTGACTCTGTTCTGGAACTCCATACTTATCTCATAAATCAGCTAGATCTGTTACAATCAAAAGGAGACATTAAAAATGTAACAAAGGATATTTGATCAGCAGGGAGATGTTTAGTGACAAAGGGGCTCACAGATTCCTATATAAGATCTATACAAGCATTTCAAAATCCCAAGTATCAAAATGATGGTTACACCCACTCATGTGTAGAGAAACCTGAATACTTGAACAATGAGCTTGGTGCTATGGTGCTAAAACCTTGCACTGGCTTATGTCAGATGAGGGGGTTTACAAGTCAGGTCCAGCTGGAGTTAGCACTTTGCTGCCCTCTGTGCCTTTGCAAATCCTCCGATACCTGATCTCTTGATGCTGAGAACAACAATGACTAGATAGGCTGTGATGGAAAAGGAGAGTCTTCCCATAAACACACAGAGGACTTACCTGGGAGCTTTATTGACTTTACAGGTTGTGTAACCTGCTTCTCAACAGCAGACACTGCTGTAGCTCTTGTGACCTGTCAGAGAACAAATCTAGATTTTTAACCACTGATGGTTGAGAGAATGAGTGTATCCAGAGAGTAAATGTGGTTCAATCTTAGGTTAGTATGGAGGAGAGAAACAGGGACAGAGAGAATCTTTAGTTTCTGACAATTTGCATGAGAACTCTGTCCTTATCCTCGTATGTTTGCATACCTCTTCAGCTTCCCTAGAAGTTATTGAATATTTGGTACTTAAGAGAAGAAGAGAGAAACAGCAGTATCTGTATATCTATAAGAGTCCTATCTTTTCATATTTTCAAGTATGTCATGTCTTTTTGCCTGTATTTGTACAAGGTATAAAGCCTCATCTTGCCTATTGATGTAAAAGCTTTAAATGTTCTGAGTCCTATATGGGGCAGAGGGAATTCCCTTACCCAACAATCCCATCTGTGCAGTTATTCCACTTCTAATCCCAAAGCATTCCCTGAGGATTCCTCTCGTGTATTCTGCAATGCGTCATCTTGCTAATGGGAGATGTGGAATACATTTTTATACTGCTTAGCAGCTTGATAGCAGGACAGAGTTCATTTAGAAGTAAATGCTCCAGTGTAGCAGAAAGAACTGATGAGAAAACCATGTGGTCTGTCTAGACTGCAGAATGCAGAGTGCACTTGAGCTTTTATAGGTAAAATATCTGTTTTCACCTGTCTCAGTCACTGCCAATTCCTGTTCTTATTTCTTGGCAATGAAATCTCACACCCTGCAGCATTACTTGTTCTGCAGTACAGCAAATCATGCTTATAAATTCTGGGTAAGACAATCAACCTGTGAATGTTGGTCTCTTTATTTTTTAAATGTATTTTTAGGATTTGTGAACTCTCATCTTCTTAAAAGTTCTTTAAAATCTAATCTTGCCCTCTATTTTACACTGCCTTTGACTAGTGTTACTTTTATTTTGTATATTCATCATCTTCGGGTTAAGTCAATCAAATTGAAATTCAAACTATTTTCTTCCTCTGCCAGCCAAAAAATTGCAAAATGGTGACTGTCATTTCTCACAAGTAATCAGGCTGAATGTCAGGTCAGCAACCTAGGCTGTTTATTGTATGAATGCTTGAGTTTACACATTATTTTAAAAACCACGTGTCTTAACAAAAATAGGCACATTGCTTCAGTAAGTTCTCACAGAGCAAGCGAGGCCTTAGGGCTTCATAAAACAATGAATGAAGAAGCTCAGAGAAGCATAACCTTCCTGCCTGCCTTCTATCCACTTAAGTGGTGGAAATAATGGAGTGGCAGCAATTTCACTTTCCTGTGCTTCTTCACAACTTGCGTAATGAGTAAGATGGTGTGGTCTGCTTGTTTTTTAACCCATTCTTGGGGAAGCACGTATACTGAGCTGTATATTTTCTGAACAAAAAGAGCATGTTTATTTAAATCATTAAAATCCACCATGAAATTTGAAAAGCTGTTGTTTTAGATTAAATGCTGGGAAAGACTAGATAATGGCAAAGGTGTGCCTGCTAAAGAAAGTATTGAGAGATGTCCTGTGCCACCAAATGCGGTTCTAGATAGGCAAGAGGAAATTTTGAATCAGTCTAATGCAGCACCCCTGTTCTTAACTGGTGCTGGAAAACTGAATGCTGAACTCTTTGACAGCTGCTTTAAGTTGCTTCTGCTGGTAATAACCTTCACAATGTGAAAATAAGACAGCCAGAGGCTGAGCGGGCATAGCTCCCTGGCTCTGCTGCTATCCATAGACAGGCTGGAGTCTGAGTGGCGAGTGGTATGATAGCCAGATGCCATCTGGCAGAGTCCTCAGGCAATGAGATGAGCCACTGTCCTGCTGCCAGAGTTTAACGAGTGCCGTAGGTTGTGTCTGCTTATATCATGATTTTTGAAAAAGTGGTGACCTGTATTCAGAAGCATGGGGGAACAAAGGACCAAAATGTTGTAGAGAGATTTTGTAGTCTTCACAATAGTGGAGAGACAGACAGCTGTTTGCAGCAAACTTGCTCTCTGCTGCTGCTTTTCAGATGAACAGTTTCCACTGGGGGTTGTGGAGGTTACCAGCACACACCACCCCTCCAGACTGGAGTAGCTTTACTGAGTTATCTGAAGTTGGAGGTAAAGTTGTCATAGTGTCTAGATGATGTATTACATGCACAAGGGATGTAAAATAGGGTCCTTGTGCACTTCCAAGTATTTCCCTGGCCTTGGACCAGTCAGATCAGTTACACATTCCCTAGTTCAAGTTTTTGTCCCCTTCCACACCTAACAGCCTCACACAGGACCAAGCCTGGGTGTCACCAATTGTTGCTGGAGCTCTCTCAAGAGTAGAGACTAAGAAGTACACCATGGGACTGGGATCTAGCTTAAATTGATAGTGTTTCAGAAAGTCTTCTAGATCTGCATCATGAGTATCTTTTTTACCTGTCATACAGCTAAAGGGAAAAATAAACTGATAAAATATGTGCCTTGAACAACATGAGGCAATGTTAGTGCCTCTCTTCCCTACCTGCCAAGGAGACAAGATTTGTATTTAGTGACAATGATGTGCTATTTTCTTAAGGGTAGTGAGGGAGTGATTTTTCAAGGATAGCTGTGAAATTTACTCTGAACACCGAGTCTACTTAGTTTTGCCCTTCCTTGCTTGCCCTTCCTTGCCTTGATGATGGAGAATGACCTTCTTTCACCTTCATTGCCTGCCCCTCGCTTTTCCTTGACCTTTTTTGCATGCCCCTTGCCCACCCCTTACTTTTCCTTGCACACCCCTCTCTGTTCCTCTCCCTCTCTCACTTCCTCATTGGAAGGAAATTCTTCATTGTGGGGGTTGTGAGACTCTGGAACAGGTTGCCCAGGGAAGTTGGGGAAGCCCTATCCCTGGAAGTGTTCAAAGCCAGGTTGGATGGGGCTCTGAGCAACCTGAGCTGGTGGAAGGTGTCCCTTCCCATGCAGGGGGGTTGGATCTAGATGATCTCTAAGGTTGCTTCCAACCTAAACCTATAAGTCTATGAATCAAGTGCTGGGCACTGTCATA